CCTCCAAAGGTCTGTTATCAGTGTCAACATCAGAAAAGGCAAATAAATATTATTATTTGTCAGCAGTTAAACAACAGATTGGTACCATAAAGCAAATCCAACACACACACACACACACACACACACACACATACTAAGACACACACACATTCACACATACATGCAAAAAAAAAATCAGAAAAATCTATTGCACACCCTGTATGTCTATCTTTCTGTTGATCTCTCTATCTGTTTTCCTTAAAGTTTAATACATTTGATAGTTTGTCTGTCTTTTAGATTGTCTATCTCTCTGTCTAACTGCACATATCTGTCAGTCCAAATTCGTCAACAAATGGACATCTGTCCGTTTGTCAGTAAAAAACGTCTATTCAAGTCATTCAGACGTAGACAGGTTGCACTGGTAAAGATAATACAGTAAGAAGAAAGTCAGCATAGCAAAATCATGTATTTTGACTTTTTACAATAACAAAAACAAAATTCTGTGGAACACAGACTACAAGAAATGAGAAACAACATCAAAGCAGATTATACATTAGTTTCTCATTAATACAATTCCATCACACATCTAACATATCACTTTGTATACTGGAATACATTTTATTAGGTGCAGAACAATAATCACAGCAATTAATTTTCTTATCTGCATCATTGGATACAGACAAGAACCTTGCTGCTTCTCCAATTGCATGAAATTAATAAGTATTGAATACTCTTTATCGCATATCCCTTGCATTTAATCAAATGGAATGGCATTTTCATTGGGCTGCCCATTCTTCAACACCTGCCTGTCTTGCAGAAGCTTTGGATATCTTTAATCCTGCATTCTGTTCACTGTACTGACACTGCACTGCACTAACTAATCTAACATTAAACACTAGTTCTACCCAATGTTGTTCATGGCATATAATTCCAACACTGCTTATGAAATGTGCCCAACATACAAGGCATACCCAGTGTGTATGACATATACTTTATGGTTTATGTCATGTGTCCAACACTGTGCTTGACCAACACTGTACATGTGCCATGTACATTGTTCAAAGTTGTACTTATATTTCCCTCAGATTCAATATAAATATAAACCAAACAACTACTGCTGACATTCAGGACTTTAATTCCCCCTTTTTTTAAACGAAACAAGCATGTTTTTTTATTGTCTTATACGATGTCATTTCTGAAGATTATAAACTTGAAACATAATGCCTCAGTTTAGCTCTATGATACATACAGCAGTATACCAATAAATATTTTGTGAGCCAGAACACTAATCATTACATCTGCATAAGTACATGAAGTAAAAAGTATCTTTTTTTTTAAATTTCGGTTTTGATCCAAAAGGCCAGATCATTCGCTGATGTGTTCAGCCTACAATGTCAAGTCTCTTCACAAGAAAGATCAAGACAGGAAAGCATCAAGGACCAATGACCTTTTTTTTTAAATCTTAAAAGAAATATCCCTCTACTTTCAATAATTCAATAAATAAAGGATCTCACTTTTGAGATTAACACACACACACACACACACACACACACACACACACTGCCATTGCGATGATATCCTAGCTCAGTGATAAGTCTGTTAACAATAAAGAAAACAACACTTAGCAAGACAGCACTGAGAGTTTCCAGTAAATTGGTTATCCCCAGGAATCCAATGATGCCTTTCCGGGCACTAATTATTTAATATCTTTCTCGGAAATGTCTCACATAGACAGAATGAAAAACGGAGCAGTAGCACAAAAAAAAAAAAAAAAATGAATTAGAGATAGTAAGCTGATCACAATGCACAATAATAGCTGACATTGTGTGTGAACTAGGGAAACTGTTGGGGTGAGAAGGGAAAGACAGGAGATGGACATAAGGCAAGACAACAAGTTTAATGAACAAAGTTACTCTTAAACAAGGCAGCAAAGCTGTCAAATGTACAGACAAAAAACAGGAAATAACTATGCACAAAATAGGCTACTGTCAATTCTGATGCAAAAATACATTATGTTAAACTGCAAATTCAACATCAAATTTTAATTATCCTCAACAGGTAATACCAATGTAATTAAAATATGTGACAAGTTTACACTTTGAAAATGTATAACTTCCAGAAAAAGAAGTCAATTCGAATGCTTTTCCAACTCAGGCTGCATTTTAGTCCTGTATTTCTTTTTTGAAAGTTTGGCAATCATAAGTAACATGGTTTTCCCATAATGGTCATCATGGCAGCAGCACCCNGAAAAAACAGCATAACTTCTAAAATAATGGCCCCATTATGCTGATTTTCGAACTCAACCTGCGTTTTAGTAAGATTGACCACTCCTGTGAGTTTAATGACAATTGGCCTAACGGTTTTCCTTAAAATGTGTTTACAGGGTTGCATATATGCTGAAAACAGCATAACTTCTACTATAATGGCCCGATCATGCTGATTTTCGAACTTGACCTGCGTTTTATGAATATTCATCAGCTCAGTAAATATAAAAGCAAAAAATAAAACTGTGTTCCACTTATCGTGTTTACAAGGAAAGTGCACGGCATCGGCATCGGCATCGGCATCGGCATCGCCATCGGCGACGACGGCGACGACAGACGCAGGTGATGGCAATATGTACAGACACATCTGTGTCTGTACATAAAAAAACAGCAAGTGCTCTGCAAGGATTTTGTGTGTGTCTGTGTGTGAGAGAGAGAGAGAGGAGAAGTAAAGAGAGAGTCACTTTATTAGAATAAATAGCACACACAAAATCTGCAATGAATCTTTTTTACAAATAAATAAATTGGTTAAAAGTGAATAAAACAAATCATTAAACTGTGTCACATCTTTTCTTTTCATATATCTCCTCATTTAAGTGAAAAGAATAGTGACAATTACCAGTTACGACAGAACGCAAGATGAAAATAAATCAATTTCTGTCTGCTTTTTCTGAAAATTCGATACAACTACACCATTCCCAACTCCATACCCATCAATTCAACTTGTCAAAATTGCATCTTGCTGAAAACACTTAAAAGCTGGCTGTTACAGTAATATAGTTAACCTTTGGCATCAAATATACACCATTACTCAAGGGTCAAATCAACCATTAATTTTGAAAGTGGTTTTTACATAAGAATGGCCCGACTTTACCTTCAACCCTGTTAAAAGTATAAAGATGCAACTTCATTTCAAAGATATATGCAACTTATGATAAAACATTCTTATTCATTTAATGTGTTGATGAAAAAGTGACAGGAATAATAAGCAGCTGAGGATACATCTTTCACACCATTTATCACCTTGAAAGTTTCCAAGAAAGACCTCAAGGTGATACAGCGTAATAAGCTGAAAAATAGCTTCCCTAAATCTGTTATTTCAGGGTACCACGCACGCTGGCAGACCTTAATAGCCAGTAAATGAATCAGAGTATTCTTAAGGAAATTAACAATGGGACAACATGTCAATAAAACTCCAGTGACATGAGCTGATACCATTCATGCCAAGAGCTTATTCACAGATAAGGGGCTCTCCAAGATGCGAGCATCCGACTCTCATCGGAAATTTTGATCAAATCTGGATCAATGAATTGTATAATATGTGGTGTTACTTTTTTATCTCATTTTTGGTGCGGTTGCGCTTACAGGACACTCTCGATAGGAAAAAAAAAAAAAAAAAACAGCATGCATTACAGAAAGATGGTATCAAGAAATTAGGGGAAAACAAAAAAAAAAGCATTTTCCCCTTCCTCACTACTGCTAATGAAAGTTTGGATACAATTGTAGTGCAGATTGGGAAGTTCTTCATAGTGATCACAAAAAAAATGTTTTTGTTTTGCCTTTATTGGGTAAGGGGCAAAGACCAGACGAGATGTTTTTTTGTTTTGTTTTTTTTTTGTTTGCAATACCCTCATGTGGTTATGTTGTAGATATCAGAAGATCAAAATTTTTTAAATTTTTGAGGCATCTAGCCCCCCCCCCCCCCCACTACCACCACCATAAAAAAATCATCACTAAACAGACACGCACTGTCACCCCATCCATTTTTTTCTTTTATGAAGTGTATTCACATCTCTCTCTCTCTCTCTCTCTCTCTCTCTCTCTCATGCCTGAACTCCCAAAGGGAAACAGAAAGCACTCAAGCATCCAAGAGATACAAATCAACTGTAAAAGTAGATACAGAAAAGCTTTTCAAGTGAGCCATAATAAGTTTATAGCTATCTCTCAATCTGGGGTTAAAAGTGAGAAATGGGGTCAAAACAAAAATCAATTCACTGCCTCATATCCGTAAAAAAATTATCCTATTTAAATCTCCTGGGGATATCGAAGTCAATCGTTTCAGTGAAAAAGTTCACCAGAAGTCATTTTAAAAATCCATTAAGAAAATAAGCTACCTTCTTACAGCTTCTTTAAGGCCTTTTTTTTACTCCTTTTTTCTTTCAATAAACAGTGAGAGACAAAATATAAAATGGGATTAAAATTACTAAATTCAGTCATTGCAATGCCTATCTTTTATACATGTATATTATTCATTCAAAAGATATGGGAGCAGAAATCTAGTATGTGGAACACTATAGAAGAATGCAGACCTGAATTAAATCTAAAACTGATATCAGCATACTACTATCTCTAGGTTTTACATCTGTTAAAAAAGAACAATTTTCATTAATTCTGGATAGTGCCTCTACTGATAAAAAACAACATAATTACTTCAATATGGGTTGGTGCTAATTTCCATTGGATATAAGAAATGAAACAATGAAGTGGTAATGGATCCTTAAATATTGATAATAAGAATTATAATGGCATGTGAAGATTGTTCATTCTTATTGAACATGTTGGAGATAAAAAGTGCAGAATTCTCATTGCGTTAGTTGTGGATTCTTCACAACACAATCACACTGTTTCCATGTCAATATTTCTTTTGTGTCCAAGAATAGAGGATAGGAATGCAAAAACATACATCAGAACAATGAATGAAATAAAATGTCACATTTCAAAACAGTAAATTAACAGCTTCCTGAAATAATTTCTTACCTTGTCTATTTGCTCGGGGGTTGCTTGAGAAAACGAGGCCCTTATGTACGACGTTTTCTCATTGGGATCAGACAAGAATACATAACCTGGGGCCAACAAAACCTGAGGAAAAAAACATGTCAACATTCATTATTTTAATATCTATGGTCTATTCTCAACAATTTCATTATTTTAATATTAATATTCTATTCTTAACGATTTCACTAAATTTGCATCTCGGTGCTTTCTACATGTTGAAGGAAAAGATCTGGTCTGAAGACAGCTTTATAATTTACACCTAGCCACATGGAGAAATTGCATCCCAAATCAATCTCACCTCCCTGGGGGGTGTGGGGGGGGGGGAGGGGGGGTGATATTACCGAAGCTGCTTCATATGTAGTATTTGAATTATCATTCACAACTATAGCATCTGCATTGAGATGACGTGGGTGATCAAAATTGGATTTTTAGCAGCAATGCAAATAATGTATCTTCAGGAATTTGGAAA